GTAAGTTGGAGAGTCTTCCTAAGCAATCCTGTTCAGCTATTTCCAGTACTTTTCGATTGATATGTTCTCTTGTCACTGGAACACCAAGGTCTTGCACCGGTATAGGTGAATCATAATCGTACGGCTGGGCATTGTCGGTTTGTAGTGGAACAAGATCTTCGTGCCAAACAACAAGATATTCATCACCGTCAAGATCCGATCCACTAATGTCATGCGGGGCTGGACGTCGACCTTGCTGTGCAAAGACGACAACGTCTTTGAGATGCCGAAGTTCTGGATAGTCGACAGCCGTGAATGTTCGCATATCGCCTGGATGATGGCATGGGTTCTTGGTTATGACAACTCGTCGTTTATCAAGAATTTCAGTTTTTTTATTGTTTTTACCAGAGTCCACTGGACTATCGAGAATAGTGTATTGAATGAAGACTTCATCTTCTTTGAGAACCTTGTATTCATCAACAATGCCAAGCATATTTCTTCCTCCGTTTGGCGGAATGCGAATTCGTGTTCGATGAAGTAGATCCCTGGTTGATTGTAGGCATGCACTGATGAGAAGTTGTCGAAAAAATGGTTCGCGAATATAGTCGATGTTAGCTCGATAAATATCTGGTGGCAAGAACCAAAACGGAACCTTGCTGCGAATAAGTTTTTCCGCATCTTGATTTATGAGAAGAGCACGAATGAGTTGTAGATGATTTTCTTGTTGAAGTTTACGAAATACGATGGGTGATATTTTTCGATAGTCAAGCAGAAGGATAGCTTGTCGATTGAGAAATGCAATCCGTGGTGCTGATAGTTTGCAAACTTCAAAGATTTCATGCCGTGAAACGAATTTGTTCATTGAAGGACGGATATATAAATCTTTGCCTGTTTTGAGTGTTGTGTCGAGACTAACAACGCCCTTACAACCAGCATATCGAAACTGTACAGCACTGAAGTCGTTTCCCAGATGTAGATGTTTTTTAATCTAGAGTTGAAAACAAATAATGGCGTACAAATCAGCAGAGAATACTTCTGAGATTTTATCAATTACCTCAACATAGAGTTTTTTCGACATTTTACCACACCCATCCGTGAACGATAATTTTTTACCATTCACTTGAACTTCAATATCATTTTCCATATATTCGACGTTTTCCACCGACACCTATCACATGTACAGACAGATTTATTCTTTGTCCCTTTTCATTACTATTTTTTCGCTTACTCTCTCAGTTCCTCTCGTTGTTGTAAAACATAACGCCATACGAGCTGCATATTTAGCTGGGTTTCGTTCATTTGTGAAATCGCCCATCCATCTATAAGCTTCATTAAAACTCATATTTCCATTGTTACGATACTGATCAGCTTGCTGATGAGAATAATAAAACCAAAATTGTCTTTCTCGCAGTTGAGACTGCGAATGATGTAAGTATTTATATATTCGATCGTCATCCATCAACTGGAAACCATTTTCAAGATAATGAAGTAGTATTTGCCGCAAATGACGAAAGTGATATGCTTGTAAAGCTCGACCATTCTCATCACGTATATCAACCAGAACGAAATGATACAATGGCAGACCGAACTCGTTCTGCGCGCGAAGAATGCGATTAGTTCGACAAAGTTTGAATGGCTTAACACGAATCGTTGTCGGTGTCAATGTTACCGATGGAATATACGCTTCATTGTCTACTTTCACATCAATTTTATTTACCAGGCCATACGCAGAGGCATCTTGCTTCCGCTTTAACTCGTTGATACCTTGTTCGAGTTCATCAACAATGTTCACAAATGGTTTCAGTGGATAAATGCGCGAAAGATAAACGCAAACACGGTAAACCAATTCATCAGAATTGGGTTCTTCGTCGATAGTCTGCATCAATCGTGTACGAAATTCAGGATGATGGAATATTTGTAATTGGAAACCATATCCGACTGAAGAAAGGAGTTGCCATGCATATTTTGTGATCAGTGTTGGAAAAGCTAAGCCATCTGAATGCGAAAGTTGAGTCGGAGCTTCGTTTGAAGTGATTTGGCCATAGCAGACGGTGATTTGATGTTTGAGAAAAAATTTGATAAGGCAGGAAAGAATATGTGTAACTTGAAGAAGAATAGAATGTTTATTTTGGTTATTGATACATAATTGATTGACATGCACACTGAACCGAACAGTGGGAAAATAACAACCGGCATTAGCGCCTACTCGTTCATATGGACGGTAGTTTATGCGTCGTGATCGATCAGTTGTTGAACAAAGTGGTGGTGCCGCTCTTGGTCGAGAATGTGATCGTGCTCTCTGGTTATGAGACTGCTTACTGTTGTTATTCCCGTAGCTATTATTCGCTTTTGCTTCGAATTCATTCATGTTACACTGTTGGCAAATATACGCATCAAACCCGTATTCGTTCTTATCAATAATAGCCATATGATTAATGTTGGACACTAACAGTTGTTTTTTTCTTCTCTTGTCACAATCTTCCACAATCCATTCAATGCATTCACCATTCTTCCGTCTTTCATCTAAGTACATCATGAAGGACACACCCCTCTGATTGATCCATGAGTGTTTTCCTGAATATTGAAAATGGGTGAGGTCAACCAACGCACCATATCGTAGCTCAATGTCCATGTTGCTCGTTATTCTACATCGCTCGAGTTGTTGTAGACTGCTGCTTTCATGGGTACCTTTTTGTCTTTCAGTTGAATTTTTTTCTTGTTTATGAAAAGTTAGCCAAGAATTCTTTCGTTCTAGTATACAAGATAACAGTTCAGTATTGATCAGTCGAGGCTGGTCAAAATCTATGTGTAATGCCGTTAGTCCAAAGTGAAAAGGAGTGAGTTTCTGTTCATCGTTTCTCCACGTGAATTCATTTTTAGAGAGATCTTCTCTTATTTCATCTTCTTTCCGTTGATTCATGATAATGGCTAGATGCTTATGGTTTGAACAGGATTCCCATGGTTTGAACGATCTGTCAGCCGAGGAGGTTGTTTCAATAGGCGGGGAAGTTGAAGCATCTGAATCGGCTTCGGAATCTTGATTATTGTTATCTACGATTGGTCCTTCATCTGCCGGATCTTCATCGCTTGCGTGATCAGCGAAAGGTGCGTCATGTTTGCCTTCTGTGAACTGAGTGGAGACTTTTTCCCACATAGAAGCCGACTAACCGAAAAAACAACGCGTAACATACAAATAGTCGATCAAAGAAAATAAATGTTTAAACTTACTGAGTCGGTGGAATTAGGTCTATCTTGTATAAATTTTGTGGATTTCTTAGTTGCCATTTCAATTGTAAGTGAATATGATGATAATTTACGTACGTAAAACCAAGTATGGTTTAAAGGCTTTGCTTTGCTGTTGTCTTGCAATGAAAAAACTTGAATTTTTTACTGTTCTTCTTTTTCTTCAAGGTTTGCTTCTCTTTTGGAATAAGCGTACGGTGAGTTATTTCTTGACGAGAAATGTAAGAGAGGAAGATGGAAAAAGGCATTTTTCTGTCGACAGAGTGGTGTTCGTTAGTATGGTAGAAGTAATAGTGTGAATTTTTTTCATTAACTTTTAATGTTAATCATGAATCCTGAACTAAAACGGATTGAAATTGAAATGAAAAAAAAACAAATTTTTTCTAATATTTTTTATGAACTCAAATTCATCCCATATTGCAATTTTACAACAGTTACAGCGAAGTCCATATTTCAAAAAGTTTGATATAGAATAAAATCAAGGCTCTGTTAGATATTAAAAAAAACACTTTGCACAACCATTAATACTACAATGACGGATAAATTTCTATTTAGAATCAATTGACTTGAATCATCATGATTGCATAGATCTCGATCGCCACAACAAGAAACGCAGGCCCAACTTCGACCTTCATTATTCGGTTCACAGGGAGTAAGCGAATGCGTGTACTGTTGTTGAAGTTCACACGCTTTACGTTTTGTACAATATTTTGTAATAATTATCTCATCCAAAATACCTAAAGTACCGTCGTTCCAAAAATAAAACTTCCGATTTATTTATCGAATCAATCTTACTTGGTTTGAGTACAATCGTTAAACATGTGTCATAAGTGGGTTGACATTCAGTGACATAAGCTGAATTGTTCGAATTGCATTCCGTATTGGAATATTTCATCGAACATTGATAACAAGAAAGTGTTTCCACTTCTAAAACGAAGAATTGCATTTTGAACTAGTTGCAATATTTTTTATCAAATTTACTTTGATATCTAAAAACAAATATGATAACAAATATGAAGGACCACATTCATTCTCGTCTATGTCAATGACTTCGTTTCCGGAGAGATCGTAAATAGTCTGGAAGAAAATTGGCGTCGTTCTAACACTCTAAATTGTAAATGTAGTATTAACACTTTTACAGCTTCAAAATACCCACATAGTCGTTCTAGTTTGATCGACGAAGACGAAAATAGACGAGATAGTGGTGTTTACATTTTTCTCTCTCTCTCTCTCTCTCTCTCTCTCTCTCTCTCTTTTGTCTTTGGTTTTACATGACACATCAAAATAAGAACATAAGCAGGAACATTCCGGATGATGACTCGTGCATAGTCTTACTCTGAGCTCATCTGAATATAGACATTCTGTTTTCTTCTTCCGGTGTCATCAAGTGATGGAAAAGGAAAGAAAAAAAAATTCTTCATATTTCTAATCTTGAGAGCAACGACGACGACATAACTGATTGATTGATAGTCATAAGAGAATTTCTCTCGTGCGTTGTTGATTCTAACATCATTAATCACTCATGATTAAAAGATTCTTTTGGTGAACGAAAACTTGTTTAGGTTTTTTGCTTTATTCCACGAGTATTTATTAAATAAGAAGAAGCAACAAAATGTGTGAAACATCTACAAATAGTCGTCTAGAAATAATGAGATAAAAGAGCGAGCGAGCGAGAGAGAACATGGCACCGAGAAATAAACAAAAAACAAACGTCTAGATTATGTATAGATATAAAAGGCCGAATAAAAAAAAAAAGTTTTCCATTTCAGAGAGTCATTTCAACATTGGACAGCACTTGGATAATCACATCGATCATTCAATGCATTGAACCAAAGACCAGGTGGACAACTACGACTATAGAGAACACCGTTTGGTAAACCCAAATCATCTAAATTGATAAGAACACTTGAGAATGAGATTGAATGTGAAACTTTTCAACGTACATTGTCCGAAATAGACACATTCGAAATATCGACCTAGTTTACAGCTTGATGTATCAGCGAAACGACCGTTGGCTTGACATCGAAAATATTCTAGACATAAAATTTTCCAGTATTCTGAAAGATTGAGAAACAATGAAATCTACCTGATTCGCAACGTTGACCAGTAAAACCTGGTTTACAAGTACAAATAGCACTTAATCCTTGTTCTTGGCATGTGCCGCCATTTTGGCACAATGACTGACTACAAGCCAATTGACCAGGACTCATCGCAGATGCTAAAATGAGTTGTTGATATATTTACTTAATTGTCAGATCAAACATACCAGCAGATATTTCGCATGACACTCCGGTAAAGCCATTAGGACATTGACAAAATTTTCTACCCATTTGACTCGTGACGCATAGACCACCATTACGGCAAAAGCATTCAGCTGGTAAAGATTTATCACCCTGATTGTGTGCTATTTTGTCTGAAATGAACAGATGAATATGAGATCGTTTCTGTATCTGATCTTCCCTGTTTACATACGATTACTAGTACTCATTAAAACGGGCGGATTGGAAACTACTGGTTGAACACTAGTCGTATTGCATTGTGATCGGAAGACTCGATCGGAACAAAAGCAGGAGTATGCATTAACTAAATCGTAGCATATACCACCACCCAAACTACAATATTTGGAAGAAAAATGCTTTTAACGGAAGTAGGATTTCGTTCTTACCATGGATTCGATGCACATTCATTGATATCTAATCAAATAGCAAATACAGATTATGAACAAGTTCATTTCTCAAAATTCATATCTATACTCAACTGTTTTCGCAGTAGGTGCCTGTGTAGCCTGCCTGACATCGACAGACATATGCTCCTTCGGGACTCAATATACATTGTCCACCGTTGCATGTTGACCGCGCTGATGGAATACAAATAGATACAGGTCGGAGAATATTTCCATTGCTAACACCACCACCATATTTAGCATTATTGCTAAACAGCAGTGTTGACACAGGAGTAGTCGTTGTCTGTACTGGTGGTGTTGATACAACCGATGGAGTTTGCGTAGTATCTATGATTTCATTTAGATAAGATTGTGAAAGGTAGAAAAAAAAAACTTACTGGTTGAAGTACATGAAAGACTCAATGTGCCATCTGGACAGATACAGACGTATGCTTGTCCATTTTGATTTAATTGGTAGCAGATACCAATAGTACATGGATTTGATAAACAACCTGAACTGACTATTCGCGCTAGATTTCGAGAAACCAATAGGAATTTCAAAGGAAGCCGAATAATCAAAAACTACCTTCGCAATTTTCGCCTGTAAATCCTTCGTAACATTGACAATGATACCCAGATTTACCTGACAGACAACGTCCGTTTGCTTTGCACGGATTCGATATGCAGAAGTCAAGTTCTTGAAATAGAATAACTTCTGCTTGACTCCGTCTATAACTCAAAATATTCTCTAACAAACCTCGTTCACATCGCGCACCCGTATAATTTGGAGGACCTAGAATATACAAATCAAGTTTATTTTTTATGTTCCGCATAATAGTCCAATCTTGATTACTAACATTGACAACAAACAGATCCGATTTGGGCAGGATTACAAGAAGGTTCATTAGCTGAGTATGCGACACAAGTGCCACCATTTCGACATGTTAGACGGGTACAAATTGAGTTTGTTTCTAATGTGAGAGAACATAAAATGTATATATATTTATAGCAGTGTATCAGATTTACTTGGGCATGTATCGATAGTGGTAAAGCTAAGACCATCATTTTGACACATACACATATAACCTTTCGGTGCTGCAGATAGGGATATACATCGTCCATTTGGTCCACAGGGCAATATTGCACAAGGATCTGCAATTTCATGTCCAATAGAATAAACATGTACAATTTTGAAGTACAGCAAGACTTACTTTTCGGTGTTGAGCAATTGGTCAACTCAATTGTACCATCGAGACATCGACAGATATACCCATTTTGCATATCTGCAGTCACTTCACATTTTCCAGGACCGCAAGGATTAGGCTGGCATGGATCTACCAAAGAACAAAATGTATTCATGCTCATGATACTAACAAAATCGACACACTTGAGTCGGCACATCGAAACATTGTATTTTGTCCATCTGGACATCGGCAGTAATATGGTATGCCAGGCGTATTTGTTACAATACATTTTCCAACTGGACCACATGGCGATGATTGACACGGATCTGTTACGATTGAAATAGTAGCACTTGTTTACTAAAATCTATCTACATCTAGTTGAACTACACCTACTCATGGGTTCTGTACATAGAGTACCATTCCATTCAGGCAAGCAGTAACAAAGAAAACCATTTTCTAAGTCTCTGCATGTGCCATTGTTTGCACATGGTTGTGATGCACATTCATCTAGTTCTAGTTAGACAAAGAAACTACATCTAATCATGATTTTTGCACTAAAGCTACCTTGGTCACAAGTTGGACCAGTAAAGCCTGGATCACATTCACAAGTAAATGAATTAGATTTATCGGGAATACAAGTTCCATGCTTATTGCAGACATCTGACGTGCATACTATTGAAGGTAAGATGGTTCAACTACAATCTATTCAAAACTAAATCTACGATACATACTATGAGCATTCGCTAAATGATTCAGGTGGAAAAACATAATAGAAATTGTAAAAAATGCCCATGATGATTTGAAAAGATCGTCGTTCGATGCCATTGCTGAAAAGATATTCTGAAATATAAAAACAAAAGTGATCTGTTACAAACATCATAATACTATCGTCATTTAAATAACTTCAAATGTTACTCGACTGAAAGGTGAGAACGATTCATATAACGTCCAGACTCCTCCATATCTTTTCAATAGAACTAGTAAGGCTTCCCAATAAAGGATCTGTTTTATACTCACTCATACACTGTTCGTTGTGTGACAACAACTTGATGTTTATAAATGTGGCAGCTATGCACACACCCTCGCAAGTTTTTTTTAATCTGATCCTCTATGTTTAGGTGCACCTAATATTTATTGTATTGAGTAGAAGAAACACAAGAAGAGAGAGGAGGAGAGAGAGAGAAATAGGTATGTGTGTGTAAACAACGACGATTGTCGTTCCAATACAAATAAATTATCTTCTGTACTATTTATCTGTTCTTTCGATATAGTCGAAGATTCTACCTTGAATGCCGATGTTCAATATTTTAATGATATGCAAATGATGAGAAAGGAAGAAAAAAATCCGTTTATTGTTTCGTTTCTTCACACACGCGCATGCATATATTGAGGAGAACGAAAAGAGACAGAGAAACAACTGATCTTGTTTTTCAGTTGGATTATTCATTGAACATTATCATCTTGATCTTATCATATATACAGACAAATACTTTTGATCTATCGTCTCGTAAATCTTTTATACTGGATTAAAGTGACTATATTTGTTGAAAAACATTATCACCATAAATGATCTATACTCAGTTGTCGTCCGTTTGCAATGGATCAGACTTACATCGGCCATTACTTATCAGTCAACAAACATATCTCACAGGAGTCTCTTCTTTCTAGATTGATATGAGAATTTATTTTCATGTTATCAATGAATGTATATGAGCACTAGTTTACTTATGCTAATGAATTAGATCTGATTGCGAAGTAAATTATTTATTCAATTGCTCTCCTGAAACGACAAAATAGAAGATAAACAAAGCGAGTTGATTATAATATAATAAATTAATAACATGAAGATAGTGTGATCTTCTTCAATCGACGATGTTGTTGTTAGCGAAGGTGCTTAATATTCTCCTATAGATTGTACATTTGACCTTCAAGATGTGTATAAGATCATGAAAGTCTAATTGAGGCGAAAGAGAAAAAGATTTCAATGATGATATAATCAAAAGTATGAAGTATAAAAGAGGAGAATAAAACAAGATCATTGATTCATGTTGCAATACATCAACTGATGGTATGGATGAGAAAGGTAAGATTTCAGAATATTGTCTTAGTTATGAACTTTCACACCTGAATTTTCCACGACAAGTTATCTAATAGTGTCTCATCATTACTTTGACCTCTCAATGATGATTGTATGAAACACGGCCATGAATGAGATTATAAATCTTTTTGGTTGAGGAAAAGTAAATCTACCTAACTGGTTCATATTCGTATATGTAATCGTATGCTATTTACGTGTTAATATGATTGTCACAGAGAACAGCTTTAACGATCTATGTGAATTCGTTTTAGCACGTAGATTCAATAGAACATTTGTTCATACAACGCCTTCAATCAGTATACTGTTCGATCATATTCGAAAGAGTTTTATTTAAAGTGTTTGATGTATACCTTTCTTTGTTGATTTGGCACATAACAGCTTAACATATTTACATAGATGACACACTTTTCGATCAAGCATTCAATATTGACATGAAACGAAACTGAAGAGATGTGTGTCAGCAAACACTAACCGTGCTTATTTGAATACAAATTTTGTGTTTATTTTTGTGTTAGTTAGTTGCATTGGTTAATATTATGATATGTTTATTCGAAAGCGTACTTGTTCATTGTATTAATGAAATACAAATGCTAAGAGAAAAAAAGAAGATTTAACCTTGATTAAATAGATAGTTTTAGATTTATTCGAGATTTAAAGAAGTTTTTATGAATTATTATTTCAATTGTCGTTATCTTCAACCCACTGTTGGTTGTACAGTCACTTTATTATCTTCGTCAACATATACACGCACACGCTCATCGTCAACATCACGTGTAGTTCGAGAGCCAGGTCCACAAACATGAACTTTCGATAAACCTAAAAAGAAGTGAATTCTATTGGCAAAGAGTTCTTGATTATTTTCATATCATTTACCCGATTCGTCTTTGATAACTTGAACAGCTTCGTCAGCTGTCTTACCGATTAATTCTGGCCAGCAAGTTTTCGTATCTGAACTTGCCATTTGGATTATCAAAGTGAAGAGTAACAAGGAGAGAAAGAGTCGATATCGATCAATATGTAAAATGAGTTTCATATAAAGTCTAAAGAATTCAATATCTACAACAAATACAGTTAAGACTTGACTCTTGTTTTACTCTATTTTGAAATGAATTTTTAGAAAGACAAAGAAGTTGGAAGATGAATTACATAACTAACTGAAACATCATCGAGCTAGTAAGACCAAATTAAATGAAGAGAAAAAAAATTGAAATGGAATTCTTCTTCTTCTCCATATTCAATACTATTCGAGTGGATATATTACGACATGGATAGAGATGTCAGTCAGCTGGTGTTCCCCGCCCATACTCATCACCGACAGAAATCACTGGTTCATGTTCATTCTTAATCGTATGTACAATACCATCATTGTGTTTGATTATTACTGATTGATTGTTTTCTATAGTAAAAAGTATCATACAAAAAACAATTCTTCGTCTCTACGAGTAGAGATCTATCGAATTTACTTTGTGAGTTATTTTGAATTCGATTATGAACTTGATTGAGTAAATTTACAGACTGTTTTGGATAACATGCACTGAGTGCTACAGCTACTGCTACAGATGAATAGAATGTTTTCCTTAAGACACTACGTTTCTGCCCGAGAAGAAGACCACCAAGGCCAGCGATAGTTACTACACTGATTTTTGGATAAAATGTTTGATCATCACGAATGTAATTGACTGTTGCTAAAAACAATCATACATATATGTTTTTCGATAAAGAGTAAAATGTACCTTTCGCATAGGTTTGACCTTTTTCTAATTTACGAGAAATTTTCAAACGTAATTCCTATATCCACGTAGTAAGTAAAAATCACAGTGTAAAGAGAAGAGTTCATCATACTTTGCTATTATTCCAGAATTGTTGTATTGATTGTCTTGTTTGATTAATCGATGTTTGAAATCGATTTGTATTGTTGATTCTTTTCTGTTGGTCATTATCTATTCGTGGAACATACCGATAGATATCATCTGTTTTTGGATCATAATAAATTGGCAACTAAAATTAGTGGAAAATATACAGCATCATTTACTCACTGTCAAACTTCAGATTAACACACATACATCACGAACTCGTATGATACGAGAGTTTTGTGTAGGACTCGCATCATTTTCTGATTTTTTGGGCATTGTTCAACGCTCTTGGTAGATAGTCTAGAATATTACATATATTCAAAATTTGGAAAAGGATCATATGATAATAGACAAGAAAAAGAAACAAGCTCGTGTTAGTGCAGCGAGTCAACCTATGGCATGTTGTGAGATAAAAGCGCCACCTATCGAATATAATAATTTTTCGTTTCGGAAAAAATGGATGCTCCTACGTAGCTTTCGATAGAAATCTACAATAGTACACATTTTGTTAAAATATACAAGCGCAAAAGATAATCACTCACTCAAGGAATAAAAAAAAGTAGGATTCCTATTTTATTACTCGAGCTGGTATTTCCCTAAACTTCCACATTTGTTGCATATTTATGTTCAATAATACAACTACGAAATCTTCATCTAAGAAGAATTCCAAATCACAATGAAAAAAAAGATGTTTTTCTCCATATTCCAGCGGATGCATACTATAGAAAGAGTCATCACAATATCTTAACTATAGATTTCGATTCCAAGAAACTAAAACGTTATTTTCATAGTTGCTTTCTCTGAACACGTAAATTCGGAATCATTCAGTCAGTTAATGTGTATTTTTTACTGGGGGGAATTTACTCTTAACAAATGTTTACATGTATTTTACAATCTGTTCGTTGAATCTTTCTGTAAAAAAAAACTGTTCATACAAAATACACAAAAAAGACAAAGATCACAGCATAGATACTTGATTATCAAGAGATCTGAAACAAAAAAGTCTTTTAGGCGGTACATAATCTTCATATGGCCATCGATTTGATTTTCTTGGTGATTCAATTCGTTCAAGAAACTCAATTTGATGAAAGATATACTTTCGTGTTTGAAGTTCAATGGAAATTTCACGGATATCGGTAAATATTATTTGAAGACAGTTGCCTATACCATCACGAACAACGAAATTGTATCTAAAGTGAAGTGTTCAGTAAGTAAGACTCAACATTTGTCATTTACTTGTTATTTTTTTCATCAAATTCAAAAATAATAATTGTACCATAGAGATCAAATTTTCGTGTAGACATTAAAGCCAATGTAAATGATTGGTAGACTTGTTCGACGGAGGAAATCGGCTTTTGTTGAGCACTAGCACTCGGAAATGTGGATTGAAGATCAAATACTGGAATTACAAGACGAAGTGTTTCATTGGATACATGTTTATCTCTTACCAGAATGTTCATTCGAGTCACTTTTGTGACATGGACAGTTGAATGCGTATGTATGGGTCGTTTCCATTGGTATCTCTTCTTCAGTCTTGCTGACAATCAGTTCTTTTCTTATATCTGTGATACCTAATGTAGCTGAACCTAAATCTGTTAGATTTATGTCCAATCTATACGAAAATAGAGCATAAAAATCAAGAAAATGCATAACTACGAATAGAATTATACCTCGATTCACCTGAAATACGAAGATGATCATTGATTGCTAAACTTTTCGATTGTTGATCGTGTGGATCAAGAAAAAGCACAACATCCTCTTGATCAGTAACATATTGACAATAACAAAGCAATTGATTACATACAGTTTTCAATTTCACTACTCGCATTAATGAACTATTAACTGCAATGAAAGAGCAGTAAATGATTCAGATT